GTCCCACTTTCCCCCGAAGACCAGCCCCTCACTCAAACGGAATCCGCGTGGATTCGCCCCCGACCGCCAGCTCCGCTGCCTACGCCCCAGCTCTGAGCCGCGGCAGCGCCCGGGTCCCACCTGGACCCCTGGCTCCCCGGTGGGCTGCTATTCTTTTCGATCCCCTCCCTCTCCACCGACTCCGACCTCAACTTGGGCTTCCTCCGGGTAGAGCTGGGGGTCGGGACCGTCAGGGAACGTCTGGGACAACCTGGTGCGCCCTTTCCCACCCGCCCAGGATCAAACAGCCGCCTCCCACCCAGGCAGCCCAGGGCTCCGGGTGACCCACTGATTTTCCGCTTATGGGGCGAGGAGAAAGTGCTCAGCAATGTGCCTACATCTGCGTGTTTGTGAAATCTGGAGGAGCATGCTTCGATTTTCAAATCCCAGTCCTTATTAAGCAGGGGGGTGTTGGGGCTCGATCCTTTTCCCTACACACACACACACACACACACACACACACACACACGGAGCGGGGTGCTTCTCCTGCTCCCCAGACCTTTCTCCAGTAAAAAGCGAGTCCGCTGTGGGTGGCGCTCGCCCCTGGCACTGTCACAGCTGAAGGTCCCGGAAAGCAGCCGCCCCTCTGGCCCAGGCATTCACCGAACCAAAGCCTATTCAGCGCGGCTTATGTGCCTATGAGCCTTCCTCCTTCCCTGTGCCCGAATTTCTCAGAATACATTGCGAGCTTAGACATAATAGAATTGCACAAACCCAGATCTCGCGTTCTGTAATTGCCTCAGGAACAGGCTTTCCAACCTAGTCTATTCTGCAGCTGGTGGTTTAACTTCTCCTTATGGCTGGCTCCGTGGTACAAGTCCCCAGGAACTGGAAAATACCAAGTCAACAAATGTTTGGATCTAAGGAACACTTAGAGTACACCACAAATAAGTATTTCCTTAATGGGACAGCCCCTGGGGATGTGAGTGCCACTCACTTCAGTCCTGTGAGACTGGTTCTCTGGCCTCTGTCCATCTCTAAGACACACCCAACCAGAAGCACCAGGAGTTTCCTAGCTGAAAACTTTCTTCTCCTACAGTTGCAGGACTCAGAAAGCATCACAGGGTGATTCAGCATCTGGGATAGCAGTGTGCAGTGGCTGCCCTCTTCCACGATTTCATTTGGTGTGGGAGGAAGGAATAGGAAGGAGAATGAGATGAAGAAGTGTGACCACTTGTTCTTTAAAATCTAGGAATAAGCCAGGAGTAGTGGTGCTGCCTGTAATTCCAGCAATTTGGGAGGCTAAAGCAAGAAGATTGCAAGTTCAAAACCAGCCTCAGCAACTTAGTGAGAACCTGTCTCAAAAAATAGCAAGGGCTGATGATGTAGCTCAGTGGTAATGTGCTCCTTGGTTCAATCCCCAGTTTTTTTTTTTTTTTTTAAATCTAGGAATAAAAATCACAAAAATAAAAATCATTGAAAGGAAAAGCAGAACTTGAAATAAAGATTAACATTAATGTTTACAAGTTAAAGTTTACTTTTGTGGGTTGTGTAATGTTAGTAATACATTTCTTTTGTCATTTTATAAGGAAAAGTATACAGAAAAGAAAATTGAAACCCCATGATGAAGAGATCCTTTTAACAGGCAGCATTGTTTCAATACAGCAATTAGGGTACTCTCTAGAGCCAAGATAAGGTCCTAAGGGACCCCAGCAGGACTGTCATCCTGTTGTGCCCTTTGTGCACTGCAGTCAGATAGGACTGAAGTCCATCAGAAGTCAGCCAGTTCACTAACTGGGGACACTTTATCAGAAGAGACACTTTTTAAATTGCCTGTTCAAATGGGACTCATTATTATTATTATTATTATTCACAAGAAGATGCCTTATAGGCTAGCTTTACTTGGTACAAAAGATGATCCCCTAGAGCAATAAAAAATAAATGAATAAATTATTACATTGACAATGAAATTGCAAACTTCTGCTGAATAAATGAGAAATGAGCTTAGTCTCATTTCCCAGGAGTCCTGCTTGCTAACATGGGCACCACCCGCCAGTTCTGTGTGATTTCGGATGACTGGCAGGCTAAGTGGGGCTAGGGGCATGGCGCTGCACTCAGGATGAAGGGTGCGACTGAGCAGGGGAATAGTTTGCTCCAGTACCAGTTCACGTCATCTTGACTTGAATAGGGTTTGACTCCTTAAAAACAAAACAAACAAAAAAAAAACTATGAAATTCAAGAACCACTACTCCCTTTCCCAAAACTATGAAATCACAGTCATATTAGATACTGAGTTCAGTGACCCCTCCAGTCCTATCAAACTGCACTCAGACAGAAATTCATGGTGCAGTTTTCCTTTGCCTTGAAGGAAATTTAAACTTAGCTCTGTATAAGCAGAGGAGAGGCTCCCCAAGATTCCAGAGTCCAGGACCCAGGACCCATGCCTGAGTCTCATTGAAATGAACACATCATGTGTCTAGAGGTGGTTTTGACCATGAAGCCTCTCTGCCACCACCTTTGCACTGTCTTCCATTGGACTAGAGGAGGCCTGAGGCTTGGGCCTTGAAGGCTGGTATCTAATGTGTGCCTGATGTGGAATAGGCCCTTAAAATCTGCTGAATACATGAGTGGGATATGGTTGCAAGCATTTCCTCTGAATAATCAGAAAACTTTGAACACCCCATGGAATTTTTCTCAAGAGAATGCTTTTAACACATAAATATTTCTTTCTGATTCTTGAGGCTAAGTTGAGCAGTGCAGACACATCACAGGGTTGGGAATATGTTTGAACATATCCTCTGGGTTCTGACCTCCTCTATCGAGAGCTGAACTTGTCACTGAGAGCAGAATCTGAATGTTTGGTTTGCAGGCCATTACTGGAAGAAAAAGTAACGTTCCATAGTTTCCTAGACAAATAGGGTTATTAGTGTTCATTCTGCTACATTTCTACATAAACATATTTATTCTTGAAAGGACTTTGGCAACAAGAACTAATTTTTATGACTGTACAGTACTTTATATATTCACATTGATTAGATCATAAACTTCTGCCAGCGACCCAACAGTGTAGATGAGCAAATGTTGTTAACTCATGTTCTGTAAGAAGGGTGCTGGCCTTGTTTATATGGAGGGAGTGACAGGGCCAGAGTTCACCAGCTTCTTGGCTGGATATTCTGATCACGGTATGGATATTAAATCGCCCACTCCAGAAGCAGACATGGAAAATGCTCTCTGCCTTCACACCTGCTCACTGAGGTATCTTGCCTGGGGCTAAGAAGCCTTGCAGGGTCCCCGGCATTATGAAATGTTTCCAGCCTTGGATGGAACAAGATTTTAACTCGAGCTCAGTTTTGCCACAACTTCTTTTGCCCATTGCGGCTTCACACTCCCCAGCCACAGGATGGAGGGGCCCTTTGGGGCAGGCAGGGGGCAGTTCTGGTCACCTACAGGGCTGAGGAGGGCCAAGTCAGAAGCACCTAAGGCCAGCCAGCAATGTCTCCTTAGATGCTGTCCAGGATTTAAGAAAGTCCTCTTCAGAGCATAACTGCACCCAGGACTTTGCTTTCAGTGAGATCAGGCTGGTTTTTGAGGCGAGAGTTTGAGAGGAAGGGAGGTGTTTCAGAGTCTGGAGAATGCCGGGGTGGAGGACGCAGGCGGTAAACCTGGGAGTTCTTTACAGGGAGGACCTGGAGGCGAGGGAAGAGGTGGGGACGTGGGAGAGGAGAAGGAGGCCCGGGGTGACTCCACCTTATAGAGCAGGAGTTTGCCGCCAGCCTCCGTTCTAAGAGCTGAGGTGGAAAGCTCTACACCTGGTCTGTGCAGGTAAACCACCACCATCTGCCTGGCACCAAGTAATTGTGCTAATAAAAATGACCACCTGTGAACGTACTGATTTAGCAGAAGTTCATGGATGCATGAATATACTAAACTCAAATCAGAAAAACCAGACCCATGAGCTTATCCAAGACACCAGACACTCAATGAAGGAACCTTGTCACCGAGGCCCAGAAAATGAGGAGCACCCCAGGACCAGACTTGGGGTCCCAGACCCAGTTACCTGGTATCTCATCAAGCCTTGCCCAGGAAAATCACCACAGTGACATACTTCCAAATGTGCCCTCAGGCGTCTCCTATCTGTGACAACCATGGGTGACCCACTCCAAGCTGATTCTCTGAAGCTGCTGACCATCCAGACCCTAGCCTAGAGCAAGTTCCTGCACTTTGACAGCTCTGCACCCTGAGCAAGATCAGTTTGTAATCTTACCTGACCACCTACGGTGACTCTGCATCCTACGGTGACTCTGCATTCCCACCTGCACCAAGCCTTCGCTTTCAGTTCAGCCTCCTGGACCCTGTGCTTTCAGAGTCTTTCTGTGATACACACACACACACACACACACACACACACACACACACACACACACTCACATATATGCACATGTGTGGGTGAGGTGTGATGTGTGGCTTGAGTGTTACAAATATCAGAACTTAAGACTGGAATAAAAGAACTTGTGTTTGTTTGTGAGTCTCGGGTGACCCCCAGGACTGAGCAGACTGCCATGCTGACAGTGGTGTGCTTCTGACACTGGGAAAGACACAATGCTTTGAGCCTGTTGCTGGCATGGCTTGCTCACCACAAGGAGCCCAAAGCCGCCTGTGCTGTATCAGGCTCGCTACCCGTCAGCACGGGTTAGGGATCTTTATAATGGGGCAGAGAAGAGCAACAGCACGCTAAGTACCTCAACACGCACAGTAGGGACTGGGTAGATCACCCTTACTCATCTGTCGGTGGAAGAATGACGAGTTGCAAGGAAAACAGTCTGTCCTTTCTCCTTGTCCTACACCCCAAGTTTCCCGGGGGGACTCACACCCCTTCACCATTCATCTCTGTGATTTGTCCCCACTGTCCCCACGGTGGGGGCAGGACTTGAGATGAAGCCTGCTGGGGGCAGCTCCACATTCCCCAACCACAGGAGCCGGCTCAGGCACCCCCAGCCCAACAGGCCAGTGGGAGCCAGGGCCCGTTCTGGTGCTTCCTGGAGCTGTTGGGAGAGAGCCGCCTTGTATGGGCAGATTTTAGGTCCTGAGGATATTTTGGCCAGGGCCACCCAGGGGGATATGCTGGAGGGCAAGACAAACCTGTGGGAGGGAGGGCATGTTCCTAGGACGGCCTCTGGCTCCTGACTTTCCAGTTACTCTGCTGATGAATTCCCTTGGGGCTTCAGCCAATCTTCATGGGGTTTCCATCATTCAGATGGAAAGTCTTGCCTGGCACGGATGTCCATGATATCACTGAGTGAAAGAGCAGATTCCCAAACACGGCATCCCACATATTTCCATCTCAGTCGGTGCTCGCTAGTGTACCATATACTTATGTTGTATACAAAAAAGTCTGGAGACATGAAGATGCTTACAGTGGTCTTTCTAGGTGGAAGTCATGCAGCGATGGTCTTTTTATTCTCTTGGCTTGTGATGATTTTCTAATTTTATTTACAACCAACATGCATTATTTGTGTCCTAGCAAAGCATTGATAGTTGAAGAAAAGAATTACCAGCCGGGACTGAGACACCAGAGTCTGGTCTCTGGAGCTGTGGCAGTGAGCTGGACAGGGGAGAGTTCAGCTCTGGCTCATCCTTGACCACTCTGGATGGACAAAGCTGGGCAACTGCATCTATTGTCCACTTTCCTGCTGCCTTGGATGCCAGTCCCAGGTCACTCCAAAGGTACACAGGAGCCTGGAAAGAATGGCGAAGGGAGCATGGTGCTGGGTGGCAGCCGGCAAAGGCACAGGGTCACATAATGTTCCTCTCTGTTGATGGCTCCCATCTTTGCTACCTTCGCTCATTGGCCCAGGAACTCAGGGCTCTGGCTCTTGCTCCTAGAACTCTTGCCTGAAAGAGGGAATGTGACTTCCAAGGGCAGGTCCTCCTAGATCCCAGGTCCTCCACAACTTAGAGTTGAGATTCCTGGGTTATAGTCATCATCATTGTTTTTAATTGATTTATTAAAGTATAATTTATATGCCATAAAACTTCCTTTTTTTAAGCATAGAATTCAATGATTTGTAGCAAATTTTCAGAATTCTTCAATCTAGTTGGGAACATTTTCATCACCCAGAAAGGTCCCTTTTGCCCACTGGCGTGGGGCTTCCTATTCCCCACCCCCAGGCAACCTCTAATCCATCTCTACAGGTTTATTTCTTCTGGATATTTCATGTAAGTAGGATGATATAGCAGTGTCTTTTGCCCCAGGCTTCTGTCACTTGGTTTACTGTTTTTGGCCTTCTCCACAGGGTGACACCTGGCGCCATTTCATTTCCTCTGCATTACAGCAGCATTGCATCCGATGTGTGAGCATATACCGTCTGTCCAGACATCAGGTGATGGACATCTGGATCGTCTTCACATTTTGGCTACTTTCATAACTGCTTCTGTGAATATGTGTACATGTCTTCATGTGGATATATGTTTTTATTTCTCTTAAATTTCTAGGAGTGGAATTTCTGGGTTTTATAGTAAATTCAGGTTTAACTTGTTAAGAAACTGCCAAAGTGTTTTCCAAGGTGGAAAACACCATTTCATACTCCCATGAGCGATGTCTGAGGAGTCCACCTTCTCCTAGTTCTGGCCAACACTCACCGTCTTGATTACAGCCGCTCTGGTGGGTGGGGTGGGTTTCAAACAGCATGTCCTTATGAAGAGTCATTGTTTTGACTTTCAGTGGCCTTACGACTTGTGTAACTATCCTTTCCTTGTCTTGTGATTCAGTCACAATTTAGGAGCTGCAGTCCCAGAGTTCTCCCCTTCTGGCACTGATTGGTGCAATGGCGAGGGCCTGCAGGACAGGGACCAGGGACGGGGACGGGCGTGCAGAGGATTGTCAAGGAAGCAGAGCCCAGTTCCCTGGAGCACACATGGGCTCGGGGTACTCCCAGGAGCACATGTGAACTCGGCGTCCTCCCCGGAGCACACAAACACTCTCTGGAGTACACATGGATTGGGGTCCTTCCTGGAGCACATGAGAGCTCAGGATCCTCCCTGGAGTACTCACACAAGCGCAGGGTCCTCCCTAGAGTACAGACACCGTTTCAGGGTCTTCCCTGG